CACAACGATATAGTTTACCTGGTGGCATCCATATGTACTAGGGCGTTATTAATATTGATCTTACTAAATAATTTTGAGATTTCAGCAAGCTATAATTGTAGGCTTTCCAACAAAAGATTTCTTGGCAAATTTCCGGAACATTCCAGCATTGCTAATTCACAGGCCGCGGAAGACAAATTATTATATTAACCTGGCAACTGAGCTGTTTAAACTTGAATGCGCTTTCCGCTTTCGGAAAATGTTGCAGCCTTTCCCATGATCGCTCCTGCTTTTATCACGGAAACAAAAGGTAAAAGGCGACAATCAATGATATTTGTTCAACAACTGCCCATACCATCACACTCCCGAAGGTCCTTAGCAGTTAACTTTGCTTTTACAACTGACATTTATTTATATTTTCGAACTCAACGCCCACATAGATGGGAGCGAAATCAGTTTATTGTATTTAGGTCACAACTTTGGTATGTTAGCCTGTCGGCATATGGGTGTGTGTGTCGGTCTGTTTTGTGGATTCAATGCACTAGTGGAACTTCTACAGTCACAGATGTAATGAAAAAAGAGTATCTGTCCGCAGAATGAAGGCCTCTGAAACTAACCAAGAAGTGGGAAGCTCAAAGGTGCTTCGAGACTCTGATGTGGTACGAGAACACCCATAACGGTTGTATAAATATGGATCGGGCACACTCTTGGTCATCCCATATGGTGCTTGCGTGGCTGCTTGGGGAGGACAGGAGGAGGCGAGTTAGGAGAGAGGGGAAGATACCAAGCGCTTTCTGTTCTAACGTGTGATTTAATGATGAAGTGCTATTCTAACGGGATGTCATTGATGTTATGACCCTACAAAGGGTATATAAACATCATCAGCACACTCGGTCATTCTATAGGGCGCTTCGGCGGGAGCTGGAGGGCAAGGAGACGCATACGCATCCCTCCTCAAGGTGTTGAATTTACAAGAGAAAGTGAGCGCAGCGGAGACGTTGACACTCACAAGGAATAAAAAACAGTACCGTCCTATAAACAAACAGATTATTCTTTGCGGTTCTCGAAGAATAAATCTGTTAGTCTATAGAACGATACTGTCCTTTGCTGATGAGCCTACCTTTTTTCCTTTGACTGCAAGTTTCATCTTTGCTAAGAAGCCTGTAGACTTCTTTGGTGACCCTTCTTTCCACTTTTCCCGAGTAATTCGCGCCTTTGCTTTCTGAAGAGTATTTCCCATTAAATGAAGACTGACTTTAAGGACTGATAAAGTGTGGCAAATTCCTTATCTATAGTATAGTTTTATATATAGTAGAGATGTAATTCGCTAAGTGTGTGTGTTGTGTGTTTGGTGTTGTGTGTGTGTTATGTGTGTTGCATATGTGTACGTCTGTCTTTCTGTCTGTCACGAAATTCATAGCGTTCAGCTATGAATTTTGCTGTCACGAAATTCATAGCGTTCAGCTATGAATTTTGCTAAAAATCAGTCAGTATGATGTAGGGGTGGGATGTGAACACATTTGGCAGAAGACAGATAACACCGATAACAACCGATAAGAACCGATAAAGGGCGTTAGAACGCAAAAGTCACGGAATTCATAGCTCGGTCACCAGTGGTCGTCAGGAGTTGGTTTCAAGATATGATATAGGGGGTGGGACGGGAACATATTTGGTGGGGACAGAAACTGATAACAACTGATAAGGACCGATAAAAGGCATCAGAATGCAAGTTTCACGAGATTATTAGCGCACGTCGCAGTAGTCGTCAGGGGTGGATTTTGAAATATTGGGTCGTCTCATAATTCCTGTCGCAAATTCGACACTTTTTTATTTTATTATTGTTATTTTTATTTATTCTACACGTTTATTCAAGTTTTATTTCTTCTAGGGAAACAACTGATCAATAGCATAACCACCATCATGGTCACTGATATGCGTGCATTTGCTAGTGAGCGTTTGGAAGCTTCCAGCCCAGAATGAAGGAAGCTGGGGGTTGAAGAATTTGGAGAAGTCGTTTTTGGGGTGGTCGCAATCTTTAACTTTCTTCTCTGGCAGATGCTCAGGGCGCAGGGGAGGCGATAGTCCGATAGAGCGATGCCAATGCTATATGGTGGATGAGGTATCGTGGCCCTGGCTATCTCCCCCTCAGAACGTGGTGAGTTGGCATTGCAATGTGAGGTCAGGCGTTCATTCTAGGAGAAGGAGAATCTGACCGTTTGTAACGATTCCCTTGCCGAAGCCAGCCTAGATGTTTTCCAACACCGACTTCAGCAATGCTTGCCTTCATACATTGAAGCGGTTTCAAACCAAGCGCCACTAGCGAATCCAACAAAACGAGAGCGATATTCTCAGAAAACGGAGTTCGGGCTTTGGTTGGGCTGTGCTTCCTGCGAGGTAGCCACGGACGTGCCGCGTGTTGTTGTCGCAGTGGACTCATGACTCATCCCCACTGGTGACTCACTCTGCTTTCGCCGTTCCAGTAATGGATTTTTCCCAGATGGTCAGGCGTGCTCCCGCTCATGGTCGGCCGGACCATAAGGTTTCCATCAAAACTTCATTCTGCAGCAGTCCTTGCCATACTGATGGCGTGTGCTGGTGCATCGGCTGCGCTCAGGTATCTCCTGCTACAATACCCTGGTAGCAACGTCCGGAGGCCCTCCCAATT